TCCTAGATAAATGTTATCCTGATCTTAGAAAAATAATATCCTGGTCATAGAAACATGATATCATGGTTATATATCAATATCCTGGTCATAAATACATGATATCCTGTTAATAGATAAATGATATCCCGTTCAAAGATAAATATCCTGGTCATAGATATACGATATCTTGGTCATATATCAATAGCCTGCTCATAAATACATGATATCTTAGTCATAGATAAATGATATCCTGGTCATAGATAAATGACATCCTGGTCATACATACATGATATCTTGGTCATAGATGAATGATATCTTAGTCATAGATAAATGATATCCTGGTCATACATATATGATATCTTGGTCATATATCAATATCCTGCTCATATCAATATCCTGCTCATAAATACATGATATCCTGGTTCTAGATAAATGATATCCTAGTCATAGATAATGTTATCCTGGTCATAGATACAGGCTGCATAGATAGATAGGTCATAGATACATGATATCCTTGTCAAAGGTACATGATATCCTGGCCAAAGACAAACAATACAGTCAAAGATATGGCCACAGAAACATGATAGGTCATAGATACATTATATCCTGTTTGTTTGTTTGTTTCATTTTACCCCTTTTCCCCAACAGTATTTCAGTCGTATAGGCGGGTAGTTTCCTAACCATCTTTCCTGGAGAGTTACACCAATACTAGACTACCTTCCTCCACATTAAACTACCAAAGCATCTCACGGGGATCGAACCCACGCCAGAGAGGTAACTGGATTAGAAGTCATCGACTCTAACCCCTCGACTAGACATGCATGTAGATACATGATATTCGGGTCATAGATACATGATAGGTCATAGATTTAGGATATCCCTTACGAAATATTCCCATCCATGTACAATTGTCTTTAATTCAGTCACCAAAGATTGCAAAATGCCATGCCACCGCATTTATATAACAGAAGTAGATTTTTTTTGTTTTATAAAATTGAACTTATAATGCAGTAGTGTCTAGTGACTTTGGGGGTCAAGGTCATATTTCAGCATATCAAATGAAAGACAATGTGCAGCTGTATCTACTGTTAAGATACAAAGGCCATAATTTATTCAAAAATAAAAAGAATTATTACTTGACCAAAAATTTGGTATTTACTGTATTACATAGATGTATTAAACCTGGAAATGCAGGTAAAGGTACTTTTTTAAATACTATCTTTTCAATTAAGCATTACCAATTTCTAAACTAGTCTTGCCCATGGGCAGAATGTCGAACCCGCTCGTCTTAATTCAAACCTGAACCTACAAGCTTCAGATCAAGGAGAAAGATGGATACATAGATGAGAAGTGCCTCTTTATACCCCAAGGCAAAATCTTAACATTGCATCATCTCGTGTTCATGTGCATAACACGAAGTCTCATCCTTAAAAATTTAATACATGTTATTTGAAAATTCCTCCATACACAAAGAAGTTATTGCATGGACAAGTTTGGATGCATGCATGCACACACAAACACTGAACAGCCATTTTGATATCTCTGTTGAGCTCAGCACAAGTGGGCTTGACAAAAATCCTCTGTCCACTAAGCATAATACTTCAAAGCATAAACAAGATACAGTGCTGACAACCAAATTTTTATATTTTATCTGAGCTTTGACCTCTATGACACTGACCTTCATTTTGCTTAAGACAACTCATCTCAACATGGAGAATATTTGTGCTAAGTTATATTAAAATCCATCGATGTATATAGAAGTTATACTCCACAAATTATAGTGTTATTTTGATATTTGACCCCCAAGTGTGACATTGACCTTTACCAAAGACACCTGAATTTTTCGTGGGACACTCCACCTCACTATGGAGAACATTTGTCCCGAGTTATATTAAAATCCCTCCATGCATGTGGAAGTTAGGCTCCGGACACAGGTTTTGCATTGACCCTCGAGTGTCACCTTGACCTTTGAGCTGCGGACCTGGATTTTGAATGCGACACACCACCTCATCATAAGGAACATTTGTACCAAATCATTTTGTCATCCTTCAAAGAATGTGCAAGATACCAGGTCAACAAATTTTAATATTTTTATTTGACCTTTGACCTTTTGTGACCTTCATTTTGTCTGAAACAACTATACATTGGTGCCAAGTTATATTAAAATCCATCCATATATATAAAAGTTATACTTGAAAATGAATGGTTTTTTTTGTTATTTGACCTTTGACCCCCAAGTGTGACATTGACCTTTACCACAGACACCTACATTTTTCACGTGCCACTCCACCTCACTATGGAATACATTTGTCCTCAGTAATATTAAAATCCCTCCATGTATGTCAGTGATATTCCCGCTTATATAAGAGACTCCGATAAAAGGCCTCTTCCCAATTGAAATTTTCTTTAAGATCATGTAGTTTTCCAAAGAATCTGAAATTAAACCTGCTTTTTTGCTTCCCAAATTAACAATTTTAGGGAATTTTCGCAAAATCAAGTGGCTAAGGCCTCTTCTGAATTAAGTGAGAAAATCACTGCATGTGAAAGTTGCACAATCTGGACACGGTTTTGCGCTGACCACCAAGTGTCATTTTGTGTGCAACATCATGGTAAACATTTGTACGAAATTCTTTTGAAATCCTTCAAAGAATGAGAGAGATATAGACTGGACAAATCCGGAAACACAGACTGACGCACAGACGCAAATACACCAAACTATACGTCAAAGTCGAGGTCACCACAAGCGGGTCCAACAAGAACATAAAAATCTTTTTTTGATTTAAAATCATCAATTTGAACAATTTTGGTAGAGGACCTATAGATGATATCAAAGCTCTAAGCCTTGTACTTGTCCAATAGACAATGCCTAATGCAAAATATCCAAGCTCTAGGCCTAGCAAGTCTTAAGAAGAAGATTTTTTTGAATTTTTTCTTATAATTTCTTTGGTTTTAATGGCAACAAGTTTCCTGCAATGAATCAAATTCTTTGAACAACTTCAGAAGCCCAAGGAACAATCCTACCAAGTTTGGTTGAATCTGGACTTACCGTTAATAAGGAGAAGATTTTTTAAGTTCATTATATAATAGAATAGAACACACACAGGTGAATCGCTATATGCCACAGCATCGCAAATGCTGCTGTAGCATTAAAAAAAAACTTTATTCACTTCAGAAATAGATAACAGTAATATGTCGTCAGTAGTAAATGATTATATTGTTGAAATATTAACTTGAAGTCTATTTAGTTTCTCAAATAGAACTAACATTCAAACATGGGCACACACACTCATGCATGAGTTTAAAAGAAGTGGTCCAAATAAAAATCATCTTGCTTGATACAACATTCTCCTGAATTAAAGTGACCACCAAGATCTTCTTTCAACCCACCTGAATAATTAATATTTTTAATAAACAAGAGCCGGTTGAACCAGGTGATGCTCCCCGACTGGGTTTTGGACACAGAAAAGTATATCTTTTGTAGTTTCAGAGTTATGTCCCAGACAAAGTTCAAAGTGTGATAATTCCAAACTTAGGCAAGGCAGAATTACTGTTCTTTGCACTGCACTTCTACTCAATGAGATTTATCTACCAATCAATATGGTGATCACTTCTGTGAAATAGTTGTAAAATCTGACTTCAAATAATGAAGTTATGGGCCTGACACGATTTTGCTGCAAGGTCATGCTGTGACCTTGACCTTCAAGGTAGCGACCCAAATGTTGCGCGCAACATGTTGTCTCAATATGGTGATTATTCTGTAAAATAGTTGTAAAATCCGACTTCAAATAACGAAGTTATGAGCCGGACACGATTTTGCTGCAAAGTCATGCTGTGACCTTGACCTTCAAGGTAGCAACCAAAATGTTGCTTGCGACATGTCGTCTTAATATTGTGATCATTTCTGTGAAATAGTTTTAAAATCCGACTTCAAAAAACAAAGTTATGGGCCGGACACGAATTCGGGGCGGACGGACTTTCTAACAGGACAGTAATAATGTGGCTACTCTATTGTTCTTTTTAGCCACACAAAAGAAAATAGCCACATAAAAGCATTACGGAATGAATGACATCCAAGAGAAAGAACAGTTACCTGATGTCCCTCTAGCCACATTATTACTGTCCTGTGAGAGCGGACGGACGGACAACCTGGCGACTATATGCTCCCCAGAAATTTTTCGGGGAGCATAATAAGGGAGAACAGGATAAACTGTATAACCTTAATTACAATAAATTTATTCAATATTCTGCAAGTCTGCTCAGAGTTTAGTATGTTCTGAATACATGCCCAAAAAATGATTCTAACTGGATGTTGTGTTTTCAAATATCATGTGCAATGGATTTAATAAGATATGATATTATACAGATAAAATATGACCACATTTTCCTGGAAAGTAAATTAATTCATTTATTAAATATCACCATGTGTAAAACATGCATTAAAACAGTTAAATCAATGTGTAATGTTAACTGTATTTTAACACTGTGTAGGTTTTACTTCTATTAACACTGTGTAGGTTTTACTTCTATTAAGTATGTGAAACCCAGATTATGGTTAAACATAACCATAGCACAAATAATACATCTGTATCAAACATCATGGACAAAAATAGTAAAGATGATTATGGTTCAAACTCAAAATGAAAAATCAGAAGTATAAATATAACATTAATAGTAATACCGTATGTTTTCAAAATTTTAGGTGTATATTAGCCCAGTGAACAAGTAATGACCCAAATCTGATCATGGATTATAAGAACTCCATCTTGTTACTAGTCACATTCATCACTTGCAACATTTGAGACATCGACTCATTGCACTAGGTTAAAATACATTTTATACTTACATTCTTTTTCACATCTGGCAATGAACCTATATAATTCAACTAAATAATTCAATTATTTTAATATCTATATCTGAAACATTTATAATGTATCTGCAAAGATAAATACTATTTCCGATGATAAGAGCTGCAATGTTACACTTTTAAATTATTGTACAGACATAGATGCCTAGATACTTACAAAGGTACTGTCTTTCTTGTTCTTTAGAGAGGTTACATGGAAGGATAGTAGGCATGCCTGGAATCACGGTTTTGTCTTGTACATCTTCTGCTCCCCAACGACTTCTTCTTTTCTTCCTCCGATCACCATTGTCTGCTGAAGCTCCATCACCATTACTGCCAGTGCCCCAACCTTGTTGATCTGAAAAATTGTAAAATTATAAACTAAAAGTGTATTCATATGACACAGATGCCTCCACACTCCACTATCAGTCTACTGACATACAGGAGGACAGTATGACAGAGGGTCAGACAAAACAAATTTTACACGACTCCCCTTACCCCTAAGTGGTTGGGGCATAAACAAGAGCTGTCAAAGGAGACAGCAAAGCTCGACTAATAAAATACAGGACGCAGTAAGGAAGACAAAACTATGAAAGGAAAATCAATTATGTATAATTATGTATAAAGTTATAGTAAAAAAATAACATAGTTAACATAAATTATAACATCAAGGGGAATAATTCTGGAAATAGTCATGCTAGAGTTATGAACCTTGTCACAAACATGTGTGTAATGATAAGAAATATATATTTGAAGTTTGAAGTAGATAACTTAAAAAGTAAAGAAGTAATAATATTTCTTAAAGAAATTCTAAGTTCAAAGAGAGATAAATCTGTAAATATTGCTTCAACAGTTATGAGTCACATAAAATGTAATTGAGAATAGGAATAAGTATTTTAAGTTTGAGGTAGATACCTTTAAAACTTAAAAAGTTATAGTAAACAAAAGCTGTCGGTAGGACAGCACGCTCGACTATTCTTAGTGCTTGATAGTAAAGGAGCCTTGATAATGTTAAATTTTTTAAGTTCACAAAAGGGCTAATTTTTTTTTATAAATTCATGTTATAGGCCTTAGAGAGAGTCTAATTATACAGTATTGGCTTGACTATTCGGAAGGTAATGTCACAAGGGTGTTTTATTGAGTATAATAATACTAATTACCTATGAATACATAAATTTGACAGAAAAGGTACAAAGGCTTGTTATTAAGATGTTTTATCAAGTAAATCACTGATTTATTATAATGAATGCATAAAAGTGTCCCAAAAAAGGCACAAACCCTTCAGTAGTTATTGAGATAACAGCTTACAAGCAAAACCCTACCATGAATTTCTAAGTTGAAAAAGGGGAGAAAAATCAGCCTAAATGCAAGATAGAATTATGGATCTTTGTCAGTGACCTACAATTATGACCCTAAATGCATATGTGAAGTTTTAAATAATTATCTTTAATAGTTATTGAGATATGTAAAACTTGCATGTAAACATTAACCAAGAGACTAAGTGGAAAAGGGGATATGAATCAGCCTTTATGCAAGATAAAGTTATGGAACTTGGTCAGTGACATACAATTATGACCCTCCAATTATGACCCGAAGTGCATGTGTAAAGTTTCCAGTAAATATCTTTGAAGACCTTTAACTTTTAACCAAAATTTCTAAGTTTTAAAGGGGCAAACAATTTTGCAAATATTGCAGGCAGAGTTATGCAATTTCGCAAACTGCTGTACATTGTTACTATAAATAAGTATTGTAAGTTTCAATTGAATATCTCAAGCAATAATTGAGATATTTGACTTTACAAAAAACTTTAACCAAAATTTCTAAGTTAAAAAGGGGCATAATTCTGTCAATATTGTAGGCAGAGTTATCCAACTTGTCAATCTGATGTACCTTGTTACTATAAATAAGTATTGTAAGTTTCAATTGAATATCTTAAGTAATAATTGAGATATTTGACTTTACAAAAAACTTTAACCAAAGCAGACGCCGACGCGGACGCTGACGCCGGGGCGACTACAATAGCTCACATATAATATTCTTCGAATAGTCGAGCTAAAAATAACATCTTTCAAGTAGAAAAATTAAGTTTATGAGGAGATAATTCTTGCAATATTGGTGCTAGATTTATGAACCTTGTCACATAACATGTGGTTAATGATAAGGTACATATATTTGAAGTATGAAGTTGATCCCTTTAGAAACAAGAGCCGGTTGAACCGGGTGATGCTCCCCGACTAGGATTTGGACACAGAAAGGTATATCTTTTGTAGTTTCAGAGTTATGTCCCAGACAAAGTTCAAAGTGTGATAATTCCAAACTAAGGCTGTGGGCCAAATGGGACTTAAGTTATGCTCTGGAAACTGTTTTCAGTTTTAAGGTCATAGTGACCATGACCTTTGACCTTGTGACCCCAAAATCAATAGGAGTCTTCTACCCAATATGGACAATCATCCTATGAAGTTTGAGTGGGCCAAATGGAACTTTAGTTATGCTACGGAAACTGTTTTCAGTTTTAAGGTCATAGTGACCTTGACCTTTGACCTTGTGACCAAAAAATCAATAGGGGTCTTCTACCCAATATGGATGATCATCCTATGAAGTTTAAACACTGTGGGCCAAATGAGACTTAAGTTATGCTCTGGAAACTGTTTTCAGTTTTAAGGTCATAGTGACCTTGACCTTTCAAATAATAAATATAGCTTCACAGTGATGTGAATCATTATTCCTGTAATTTAGTGATGTTGATCATTATTCCTGTAAAGTTGGTTGATTCTAACTCAAGCACTCAAGGAACAAATAACAACATAATGAAACGGTTTTTACTAAGTCAAGGGAAATAACTCTACAAATACTGGATAAATCCACAAGAGAAACCCCAGGTGCAAAACTAAATATGCTGAACAACCTTCCCGTAAGGTTTAATGACTCTATGTCAAATCCTTTTTGAGTTACATGCAACACAAGTTGAAAATTGCAAAAAAATTCTAAGTCAAGGGCAATAACTCTAAAAATACTAAATAAATCCAGACAAAAATAGCCAGGTGCACAACTACACATCCTGATCAACATTTCTGTAAAGTTTCATGACTCTAGGTCAAATCCTTTTTGAGTTACATGCGACACAAGTTGAAAATTGCAAAATTTTACTAAGTCAAGGGCAATAACTCTAAAAATACTAAAAATATCAGGACGAAAATACCCAGGTGCACAACTACACATGCTGATCAACATTCCTGTTAAGTTTCATGACTCTAGGTCAAATCCTTTGAGTTACATGCGACACAAGTTGAAAATTGCAAAATTTTACTAAGTCAAGGGCAATAACTCTAAAAATACTAATAAATATCGAGACGAAAATACCCAGGTGCACAACTACACATGCTGATCAACATTCCTGTAAAATTTCATGACTCTAGGTCAAATACTTTTTGAGTTACGTGCGACACAAAACTGAACGGACGGACGGACAAGGGTTAATCTAAATGCCCGCTACTAAAGTGGGGGCACAAAAACTCTTTGAAGCCTCTCAGCAATTTTTCAAAAGGGCTCAAAAACTGTATAAGCTGTATGTGAAACAAGGCAATATCATGTATGTGAAAAAAAAAGAATATGAAATCAGAGTGTTGCACTCCCTTGTAAATCTTTACTTTCATTTTACTATTTTGATGTGAGGAATCTCTGACATTTAAGAGGGATCCCTGATGTGAAATCCCTGGCAAAAACAGCATTGAACCCTGTCATACAGGCAGACAATCTTAACAGTGATTTGATTAGATAGTGTTCTTGTAAGTGATCAATCACATGTGTTTTTACAATTATAAACCTGAAAAAAAAATGAAAAGACAAAAGATTGATTTGTTACTTTATTTTCATCTACAATCAAGTAAATCCCTAACTATAATGATATGTGTATTACAATTTTTGCAAGTACTACAGGGAATTCCCCAGGATTTTTATTAAGCGCTACATTTTTTTAATTAGACAGGGGTGGGTGTGGGAGGGGGTTTTGACCCCCACACCGCATGTCGAAAATTTTTGCCATTCTAGGTGTCAAGATACTGCTGTGGGCTGTTTTAAAACAAATAATGGAAGCTTTTCACTTGATAAACATTTTCTTAATTTTTATTATTTATTTTTTCCATTTCCAATAAACAATTATATATAAACACAAGTTCACAACATGTGATCAACATTTATATGTATGTGTGTGTCTCATTTAAATGAGTATATTTCATTTGTTTTTTCTTCATTAACATCATTAAAAGTGGGCCTGTCTTCTAGGTTTGTTGTCCTTCCATGCCTTGACTGCCTTCTCAAAGTTGAAAGATTCTAATGGGGGTCCTTGAAGGGAGACGGCAAGAAGAAGGCAAAAAACTTCGACACGCGGTATGGGGTTAAGACCCCCTCCCGCACCCACCCCCGTCTAAATAAAAAAATTTAGGCTTAAAAAAAATCCTGGGGAATTCCCTGCTGTGTGTATTGATTTTTTTAAGTTTTGACATCTGTCAAATCAAAGACACTCACCGCATGCAGCAGTCATGTAGTTCAGAACACTGATTGGCTCAAAGAACTGTCAGATGAAATATACGTCATTTGGTGTATGTTTCACCTAAGGATTTTTCTTTTTTTTTGTCGGTAAATAATGCGTGACCTTGATTGACCTTAACACACTTCAGACTTAAGTTACACAATATATTTTAGCATTTAAGGCTGTAGAGTTTCAAAAAGGATTTAAAACTGAAAAGTATGGATTATTTTTATTATGTTTTTATTAATTATACTTTTGCTGTACTGCAGTGAGTAGTGCAGTGTACTGCAGTGATGTATACATCAGTAATCTTTTTTTTTCCACTATTTTTTACAAAAATTTACAATGATCTCAAATGCAGAATTTTGGCACAAAAAAACCCTAAAAAACAACAAACACTTGTTAACTTTGTAGCTACCGCCGGCAAAGCCGATCAGCACATATTTGAAGTACACACCGCATGTGTAATAATTATACGATAATTACATTTCTTTTTTGAATTTTCACAACTTAATATTATGAAGTCAATGCATGATATAAAATTATTCAAGAATGTTTCTTTAGCCAAAATATTTTTCATTATATATCGCAAATGAGTTGATAGCAGTCACTGCACAAAGGAAAACTGGCGTACATGATTCAAGAGCGTAGATTTTACCGGCGGGATTTTTCTTTTCTTTCTTGAACCTTGCAGTTGTGCCAGTCTTTATTAACACTTTTCTTAAATATTTGTGATTCAATGATATTAATTCAGACAATTTCAAAAGTTTACACAGCAATTTTTCAGGAATCCCAACGGAATCCCCAGCTAGGAATCACAGAGATTCCTCCCGACTTTTTGGGATCCTCGGTATCCCGGGATCCCGTTAGTGTTGAACCCTGCCCTTATAGAATAAAGAAGCAAAAGAAATTAACTATATTAATATAAGCTTGCTTTAAGCGATTTTATTCACCGACAAAAAATCAGTTACCGTCAGTTTACCTTCAATAACTTTTTTGATTATGAATTTAAGCCTCTGTAATTTTGATGAAATATGTGTCGGTCACATCCTCAATATAAAATATGCAATTGTAATCAAAGATTTATGAAATAATTAATAAAATATCACTCTGACATGTGTTTTCATGAATAAATATAAAGTTTTTTTATCATCAATATTTTGTTATAAATTTTAAATCATTATTCGTTTTTTCAGGTTTTACTTATATAAGTGCATATATTTCTATGATGTTGTTCTTTTTTTTGTATTGTGTAATGCTTTAATGTAAATATTACTATTATACTAAAGGAAACAATAAATAATAGGTTTAAATTTTCAATATCTTGTCTTTAATTGCATGAAAATGTGTGATAAACCACGATAATTGGCGTGCCCATTATACGATATTGTTTGCACTATATAAATTAAGTCCGCCGAAACCACTACCTGTTTTATTATATAAGGTCAGTTTGCCGAACCGGTAGTTCGACGAAACCACTCTCACCCGAGTAGAGCAACTGCGACAGTTATCGGCACGTTAACGGTGAATTATATGCTGACTTAAAATTACGCAGATTTAACATCTATTAATAGTTGTATTGAATAAACGAAGCCCGTATTGTTTGTTCTTGATGACGTAACCGGTGCTTCGTAATAATTTGATAATGTGAAATCGACTTGTAACTTTACACAACGTGGCACCAATTATCGGCAGTGTGTGACAGTTATCGGCACTTTTAATTGATTTTTAATTAATGACATTATTTCTTTTGCAAGGTAAGTTTGTGATTTTAATTAGCGGTATACAACACATGCAATTACCATAGAATTTCAGTTGCATAAATACATGCCTGACATGCTTCTTTTTTTGTACTCGTGTCAAATTCGTACCGGTATCATTTCGTACCCATTTTGACCAGTTCGGACCACCTGTTGAACATTTTCTGTATTTCATTTTATGAGATAGTTGTGCTAGTTAAAATAAATGTGTTTTTCTGTTCCATGATTTATGACATGTTTATTCATAAATAAGACTGAGAAAACATGTTTATTCAATGACTGCCACAAGCCACAAAAAATTATAATCCCTTATTGAAGTTTGAAACTTACGTGTTCTGTTATTAAAGAAAAAATAATTACATGTTTTCTCAGTCTTGTTGTTTAATAACTTGTAAAATAATGGAAGTACCATTAAGTAATTCATGTCAGTACTGATATTTCAAAGTTTAAACTGTTAAAAATAAATCACTGACCAGGCTTTTTGAATTTTAGGTGAGGGGCAATGTGGTATTAGTGAGCTCTATCCATGGATCACAAGTTCAGTACAAATTTCTGGTAAAGGTATGTTTATGATGAAGGATAATTAAAATACTAAACAATACAATGATAAATTCTTCATTTATTTATTACTTGTATTTCTCAGTCAATACTTTTCATAATCACTTTCATCCATATAGGGCACATCACTGTCACTTTTGTCATTTTTTTATTCTTTTGTTGTGCAAGTTTTATTTTCTTTTTTAGTTCTTGTTCTTTCTTCTTCCTGTCTTTATCTTCTTCTCTGTCTCTTCTTCTGTTCTCTGTCTTCTCTCCTTTTAATCTTTGCTTTCTCTTCAAGTATTTTTTTCTTCCCTTTCTTTTAACATTTTTAATGCCTCTGACCCTGACAGTGCTTTAGGGAGTTTTGCACTTAATGTATTTCTTTTTTCTTTATTTTAGGTTCACACACATGTAAAGTTTCAAAGGAAGGAGAAACATAGTTTGGATCACGCCTGGATACAGGCAAAACAACAGGGTTTGACACATCAATGACAGTTTCTTGGCTAGGGGCTTCTACAACATCAGATGAATCACTACTTTGAGGGAAAGCTGGGATGGAAGGCAGTTTGGCAGAGGTTGGATTGGCAAGATAAGCAGAGGGCAGATTGACAGAGGGCAGATTAGCAATACTGGTAGAGGGAAGATTGGCAATATCGGCAGAGGGCAGGGTGGCAATGGCAGATTGGCAATGGCAGAGCGCAGATTGGCAATATAGGCAGAGGGCAGATTGGGAAACTCAGAATCTTTATTACAGGATAACCTGTATACATGTTGATTGAAATAAGAGATAAATGTTTTCAATCTGTATATTAATTGTTTTGTTATTGTTATAAGTTTGATGTTTGTTTAGATTTTTTAGTTTAAATTGTAATTGTTTTTTTAAGCAATTTTTTAAGTGCTTGATTCATACTTTATTATAAATTAATATGATATATTTTGATAAAGTCATTGGATTACCTGCATACATGTAGATTAAATAAAATATACATGCCTGCAATCTGTATATTAATTGTTATTGTCAAAGTAGGTATAGGACCTGGTCTGGTGGCTTGTTCTGGCACCCTGCCTTCGACTTTGTCCTGAAGGGTGGTCCTGGGGACATTGAACAGCCTTGCTGCCCTAGCTTGGGGCATGCCACTTTTTACCATACTAATGGCTGCAGCCATTTTTGACTGGTCATACTGACACCTTTTGCGTTGTGCATACATGATCTAAGTGGAAAAAGAAACAAAAACTGTATGAATTGTATTCTTTTATTACTATATATTATGATGTATATATTATCAAAGGATTTTTATCTAATAAACATGTTTTTCTTTTTTTAAAGAGTTTCTGTTTTTATTAAGTCACACAATATAACCATCTGTACATCATTCCATCTACTGCTGAATCTCGACGCCAGCCAAACGATGCTCATGTCTTGCTCTGATTGCATGTCAATATAGATGGAGTATATTGCACTAAGTGCCACATCACTTTTTCCTACCCTGTCAATGAGTAGGCACAAAAGCTCATAGAGTTTATGGTGATCAAACATGTACTCGTGCATGTACATTTCTTCAAGTTTTTCTGTTAAATTTTTCTTAAGGAATGGGTCCTTAAGCACTCCAGATATCTCTCTGGCACTCAAACTGGCCGGTAAACTCATTTTCCTAAAACATATAAAAAAATCAATTAGACTGTTATTTCAATATTTGCTATTCAATGTGCCGATAACTGTCTCACCGCCATTTTTTACTGTTACAGTTATCGGCACCCATTTAAACCGGGAAGGGAATAAAAATGCAATATTTAGTGGTCTTACATTGAAAGACATCGCATTTTCTTTTTTTTGCATTTTGACGTTTATCGGAAAATGCGAAGTCTTTCCATAACTGGCTAATTTCCCATAGCACAAATCGACACGCTTCTCGAGTCGATTTGAATTTACCAGTAAATCACAACTTAAATGTTTTTTATCACAAAAAGCAATTGATTGCATAAAAGACGGAAGCATATTTTCCCCAAAACTGTAAAAATATGCAATAATTACTCACGATAAGTAGTTTATTTATCCATATATTTAAGAAGACATATGAAAGACAGTTTGCGGTGACCCCCATATTGGAAATTCCCGGTCATGCTGTGACGTCACTCAAAAAACAATAGTACGAAATTAGTCTGAACGAAAAAAAATTCTGTTGTGATTTAGGGCGCTGACAGGTGCGCGCAATAAAAATTTCGTCTAAAAAATATAGTTCCAGTAATCACCGCATTGCATAGTTCACACAATATGGAGGCTATTTACACAATTTAAACATGGGATTTGTTTTAAATTGTTTAAAATTTGAATAAGTTGATTTTGATAAGGAAAATACACATTTGTGGTAGGATTATGATTATTTGTAACATTTTACATCGGAAGTTTGAATGATTGTGCATGTTTATTGTTTTTCATTTTGCTATGGATTTTTAAATAGATATCTTTAGACGTTAAAGCAGATTTGACCCATGTAAAAAATAGCTTCAAATCCGCGGTTACGTCTAAATATTTGGACTAACCTAGAACATATTCTTACAGGTGCTCTATAGGACAGAGGCAGTCAAATTGTACTAAGTAATTATCACACAAACACACTTTCTACGGACACCACATTGTAAGCGATGACGTAAGCAGTCAAATTACGTAACAAGATAAACATACATGAAGTAATTTTACCTTTTTTTAGCTGATGTTTCTTGTGCAAAAAATATCTGGAGTTCAAAAATCGCGCTTTCTGGAATTGTTCTGCGAAAATGTGATGTAAACATAGCAGATGACGCATTTATTTGAAATCACCAATGATATTTTAAAAACATGCCGATAACTATAACATGCCGATAATACCCGCAGTTGCTCTACAATATCTGGGTACGTTACGATACCGAAATCAACTTGATTTCGGTAAAGTTACCGAAATCAACTTTTCATTACCGAAATCAACTCGTAAAAACCAACCTAGTTAAAATATTGCTATTATTTCTTCATTATTTGAAGAAAAATAGTAAAATAGACTTTCAGTTAAAAAATCTATTGAAAATATTTTATTTTAATGATGTTATTAACAAAAATGTAATTATTGAGTTACTTCCCTTTGTTCTAAACAACCCGTTATGTGTTTAGCATTACCGAAATCAACTCGTAAAAACCAACCTAGTTAAAATATTGCTATCATTTCTTCATTATTTGAAGAAAAATAGTAAAATAGACTTTCAGTTAAAAACTCTATTGAAAATATTTTATTTTAATGATGTTATTAACAAAAATGTAATTATTGAGTTACTTCCCTTTGCTCTAAACAACCCGTTATGTGTTTAGCATTACCGAAATCAACTCGTAAAAACCAACCTAGTTAAAATATTGCTATTATTTTTTCATTATTTGATGAAAAATAGTGAAATAGACTTTCAGTTAAAAAATCTATTGAAAATATTTTATTTTAATGATGTTATTAACAAAAATGTAATTATTGAGTTACTAGCCTTTGTTCTAAACAACCCGTTATGTGTTTAGCATTACCGAAATCAGCGGTGAAGTTTAAATTATGTATATAATTAGTAGATAGTAGATTAGATAACTCTAGTAGAGCTCTATTTTATAGACATATTTCTGTTTTTAAGTTTCAACCATTTCTAAATATTATCAATGTTGAACGGTTTTGTAAAGATCTCACTACGTTAAGAGTATCATCTCATAGATTGCACATAGACTCAGGTAGATGGACTAAACCAAATAGTACACCTTTAAATGATAGAAAATGTTTTTCATGTAATGTCTTAGAAGACTAGTACCATTTCATATTAGAATGCAATGTATATAATGATTTAAGAAAAAGTCTGATACCGCCATATTAGCATGTTATATATCTGCACGTGATTGTCGTGCATAACAATTTTCTAAATAAAATCGTATTTTTAAAAAGCTATGATCGGATTATGATGGAAAAATAAAATATTCTGTGATATGAGTTAAAGATAATTATAAATTTTGTACATGTTTATGTTTTATGAAGAAAAAATATTCAACTTCAATCGGAAGTTTATGATTTTCTATTATAAATTTGAATACAGATATATAATTCGACTGCTCTAAAAATGTTCCATAAAAAATGTATGATGTATCAGGCAGTAAAATTGGAAATTTGAAAGTTTGTGTCTTTCTTTTATTGAACAGTTAAACTATATATTAACAAATCACTAACATATGTTATGGGGACTCTTTATTATTATATTTTTATATTTTAGTCATTTACTTAAATGTTTAATACGAAATAAACAGATGGTTCATTATAATCTACATAAAATATATGTCAACTGTACCTCCTGTCTTAATTACTTCACACCTTACTTAATACAGTAATACACAACATGTCATATCGTACAAGTTACAACATTTCATAATTGAAATTTGTCAGTAAAAAGTGTTCCTTTTTTTCATCATATAAATATATACCAGTCATTCCATAAATTTATGCTGTTTACAGATATGAAATTTAAAATGATTTTAAATCGATCAACATAAAATCATGACTTAACAACTTTTTCAATGTAGTTAAGTATCCGGGACATCAAAAAATTGCATACATTTTTGGAACAACTGATATGCAATTTGGTAATAATAATATCAAAGCACCTTGTCTCATATACCGAAATGTTTTCTACGGCCACCCCTACAAATTAGTTAAAACCGGTCTTTTGACAATTTATTTAATATAAAATTATATTTTTACCAGCTTACTAGATATGAAATATGTATAATATAGAACTATAAAAAAAAGTCTTTTGATATCTATTATATAGGGATGGTCGCTATACGTCATTTTATATTAAACTGTAATGTATTTTTTGTCTTAATGGAGACAAGCAGCTTTATTTTCATGCAAAATAATTATGTCTTATTATCTTGTTTGGATACTTTAAAGTTTCCATGCGCCGATGTATATATTAAAGGATTGCGGTTAACGAGTATGTTAATTATGTCAACTAACACCTCCAATCATGAATGTCCGAGCACGTGTATGCTTGCTCCTTATTAGTAAAGGTGTTATGATGAATGGCTACCGCTACGTCTTTTTATTTTAATCAAATCATAATCATTGGATTTAAATTAAATTCTGTGATAATTTCCAATCAACTATTTTAATAGTGATCTAAATTAGGCGGATAGCTTCAAACACAGTTTGGTTTAATCTTGTATTTTGAAATCATTAAGAAACATCAAAGAGATGATACGCTGCAATGTTATCTGACTAAAGGGAAACTTTAAACATTGTAAATAAGCGATATGAATTCAAAGTTTAAAACTCACTCAAATACCTTTTTCATAGACTTCTGAAATTCATGCAAATATTTTAGGGGTTATTCTCATCTTTGAAATGAAATCTGATTTGATTTCGGTAATGCAACACATTAATAACAAGGGAAGTAATCATGATATAATATACATATCCGTCTATAACATCATCATTTTTTATAATTAAATATTATTTTCCTATGTTTATGGTTCAGTTTGAATGATTTTATATTAATTAATTAAACAAGATCTATAAAAACGTTTAGTTTAACTTTTACAAGCCGATTTCGGTATGGTAACATATATTTCGGTTCGTGACAAATCAGGGAAGTAATCTTGAAATATAGGTATTTGTTTCTAATTTCATAATTATTAATTATTTCGAACTGATTTTTTGCATGAATGTCAAACTAAACCTATTGTAATAGATTATAATGAAAAAAATATAATAGAACGCTTAATTGTGATTTTACAAGTCGATTTCGGTATTGTAACATATATTTCGGTTTGTGACAAATCAGGGAATAATCTTGATATTTAGTTATTTGTTTCTAATATCATTATTAATGATTATTTCGAACTGATTTTTTGCATGAAAGTCAAACTTAACCTATTGTAATATATAATAATGAAAACAATATAATAAAACGCTTAATTGTGATTTTATAAGTTGATTTCGGTAATGAAAAGTTGATTTCGGTAACTTTACCGAAATCAAGTTGATTTCGGTATCGTAACGTACCGACAATATCTTTATAATTTTTTAGTCATAAATTTTTTTTTTATAAAATTTATGTTTGTCAATACTTATGATGTTTGGATGATGTTTAAGGGTTTTGGGTTGTAGAGGGGGAACGGGGGTATAGTGTAAGTCATGGCCACGCGACGTTCACCTATGAGCTTAGTTAGCATCATAAATTATTTGACGATGTTCATGATGTTCCGGCCTTGACTGAAACGAAACGCACTTACTTCCAGAAATACCATTAAATACTTACTGCCTCCAAACTCTAACGCTCTTTTTTGTGTATTTGAATTAGAGTACATTGTCTATAGACAACAGCAAATGTCAGAAAGTTAATATATTTATAAATTTATCAACGTATTTTTTATGGCTGCAAGCTGGTCCGTGACGTCAGAAAAACATTAATCTCCAAACAGTTTGAGACTATGAAATATAAAAATCGTGAATGAATCTACTGTCTATTTCATCAATTATCTTTTAAACGTAAATATCTAAATTGCGGGATAAATGTAACACCTTTGGCAAAAAAAAATATTTATAATTATTTAATATATTCTCTACAATACATTCAGTAATCTGGTTCCCTGTCCTATTATTCTAGAAGTGCGCAGGAGACCAGTGGGTTTGCCTAAAATACGAAAGTGACTTTATCGACGAAACTGAGCGAAAGTGAATTTTAAAATAGCGTTTTAATAGACTTTTACTATAAAATTGCAGGTTGTAGACGTATATTATTAGAAATTGATTATATTTATTATCGAAAATAATCATTATGATGATTTACTCGCTATTTATTTGCATAATTTCTATACACCGTATGTTTGGACGGGGCGGACCATATTTTGGGACAGGGCGGACCGTGACTCGAGACGAGGCGGACCGTGCTTAATTTCAAATTATATATTTTCTCTATTTCATTTATTGTTTTACACCAATGTCATCATAAACATGTCATATATTTAAGCATTTTCCTTTCACTTACATCGAAAAATACGAAAGTTACTTATAATTAAAATATTAAATATACTGTTTAAATAGAATTTTTTACTAATAATGCACTAAGCAGACGTAAATATCAGAAATTTATAATATTTATTTTCAAAAATAATTATTACGATGATTTAATCGCCATTTCTTTGCATTATTACTATACACAAGTACAGAGATCTTCCTTTTGCTCACATTGAAAAATACGAAAGTGACTTATAAAACATAAAACATACCATTTAAATTGAAATTTTTTACTAAAATTGCAATTTGTAGACGTATATTATCAGAAATTTATGATATCTATTTTCAAAAATAATTATTATGATGATTTAATCACCATTTATTTGCAAATTTTCTATACACAAGTTCAGAGATCTTTCGCTCACATTGAAAAATACGAAAGTGACTTCAAAAATATCAAATAAAGCGTTTAAAGACGCATGTCTTCATTCATTATTCTGTAAATGTCCTCAAAATGAACACACTAGGCGGTCACAGGAACAAATTTTTGCTCTTTATAAAGAATAAAATGGTGGTTTAAAGCGGCGTGATTACCGTTTATTTAAGTGGGTGCGAAAATGATATGACAACACGTCTTTGTACTTCATAAGATAGTCACGTGATATTGTACACGGAGAACGTGGTTTAGAACGGTCAGATAAAATGTCAATTTTTACAACATTTCTAAAGGATTTAGTTAACAATATGTGGATTTAAAGTAATTTCAGTATAAGTGTTCTAATTTCCGATAAGAAAAAGAGTGAACTTCTATCTGAAAAATCAAATAATAAACGTGAAGCCACGTCACCTTTGTTAGAGGGCAATGAACCGGATTGCACGGACTACTCGTATGGTGATTTACACAAGTGTAGTGATAACAAAACGCAACGGACAGATAAATCTAGGAACACACTAGTGATAATACACAAACTGTAAGTAGTCACTTTATAGATTGGCATATGGCTTTCTCCGGCGCTCCATTCGGAATGATTCAGCCTTCATATGCTACGAGCCCGCCGCCATTCATGGTGTTCGGGTTCCCAACGCCAGGCGCTGGATTGCCTTCTAATCCACCACAATGGGCGACTGAACTCATAAATGACGTAAAAATGATAAAGGAAAAACTTCATTCTATCGATAAAATTGAGAAGTCAATTTCATCCATTAATATAAAAATGACAGACATAGAATCAAAAATGAAATCATTCCGTACTAGGATCACTGAAACTGAAAAGTGTTGTGAATACTTGTCTAAGGACAATGATTCGATACATCGTGAATTAAAAGACACGCGAAGTGACCTGAACAATCTAAAAAACGATTTTAAATTTGTAGAATCACAATCCACTGAAAACTGACTTATATAGATATGATATTTCTGGATTTACTTGCATTCAACTTAGTGGAAATAAGGTAAAAAAAACAGTAGTAGAGGTAGATACAGTGGCGGTATTTCTTTATACTTTAATAATGATATTAAGAAATATATAACTGTAGCAGAAATGAACCAATATGAATGTATGTGGATTAAATTAAGTCAAGAACTATTTTCATTTATTGAAGATGTATATATATGTCACTTGTATATACCTCCCGTAAATTCTAAGGTAATTCACGGATTAACATTACATATATAAATCCGTGAGTAATTAAACAGGAGGAATTTGATTTTTTTTTGAAAATTTAGAAATTGATATATTGAAATATAACGAATTGGACAAAATATACGTAACTGGCGATTTTAATAGTTGCACCGCCGATTTGCCTGACTATTTTCAATTCGATATATCATACACTTTTAAAAGTTAACCGGATAAACATACCCGAACGAGTTAACATAACAGAACAGAACATATATTTTATTTTGAATTAAGCATATACAGCTCATCTTTATATACAACAAATATATACATGCATGAATATGAAAAATGGTAAACGCATATCAATAAATGAAATAAACTAGTGAGAGTGTAATACAACACATGTAATATTTACAATCCTTATATAACTTTAAACAATACAACAAGGTGGTCTTATATAGCATTATCCGGCATTCAATGAATCAAATCTTAATTTAAAAGCTTTATTACAATATATAGCTAATTTTGTTAACACTGACTTCCTTTCTGATTTCAGCAATTCTAAAAATTTAAACATGCTAGGGTTTCTTGTAAAATAGTTGGATATATACTGTTTCCTAAGAGAATCATACAAAGTACAAATCAATACAAAGTGATATTCATCTTCGATGTCATTATTGTTGCAAATAGTACATTTCCGGTCATTTCTATCAATATTATCGTGTTTACCTGTTTCTATTAATAAATTGTGAGATGATAATCTAAGTTTAGCTAATATATATCTTAAATTCATAGAGTCAACAATATCCAGGTATTTAGACCTGCTAAAATCGGTTTTGATATGTTTATACAAATAAAAACAAGAAAAACAAATATGTACACTAGAATACCAATTTGTGATATAAATATCTTTTAAACGACCATGTAGGACTGGTATTAATAATTATATTTAGCTTAACTGATTCTGGATACATCCACACATCATTAAATCCAGCACTTTGCAAAAGTGTTTTGACTTTAGACAACCAGTTTACAGTATTAGACTTTGACTCTATCTCTAATCTCTGACAATTAACAATATAATTTAATATACAATTGCTTGTTTTATTTTGGTATATTTTTAAAAAATATTTAACAATTCTTACATGACGTGAAATATTTAATGGAAATCGGCCTACTTCTGCAAACAATGAAAGAGTATTTGTTGACATTTTCACATTAAGCAACCATTTACAGAACTTCCTATGTACAATTTCCAAATTTTCCGATGGTAATTTCCCCATACATCGCAACTATAATTTAGAATTGGTAGAACGTATGCATCAAACAGGTTGAACATAATATCAATGGGAACTTGCTTATCTCGTGTTACATTAAATAATGAGCTCATAGCCCGTAGTGCTTTGCCTTTTAGTGTGTTGGTCGCTGGTATGAACGAACTTCCGCTAGACAAAACAATACCTAGGTAATTAAACTTTTATTTAAAACTCCGCCCTTTCTAAAAACAACAATCTTAGTCTTATCTACGTTAACAGTAAGATGCCATTTGTTACAATATTTTTCTAAACTATTTAAGGAATTTTGTAAACCTTGAGCAGATTCAGAACAGATAACGGCGTCATCTGCAAATAATAGCAAATAAATCGATATTTGATCTAATGTTATACCATCATCTAAATTTTCTTGTAATAAATTTTCTAAATCATTCAAAAAGAGACTGAACATTATTGGTGAAGTTATCTCACCTTGAAAGAGACCATTTCACTACTGAAAAATTCAGACAACATTTACATGTTTTACACATAATTTAACATCTTCATACATTGAATATATTACAGAAAACAATTTGCCATCAATACCAAATTTTATCAGTTTATACCATAACGGAGATCATGTGATTGATACGCACGGGCGTCGTCTGCTGGATTTGTGTATATCAACCGCAAACGGTAGGGTGTCACGTGACCGCGATACGGGCGATTCACTATTACAATGTACTTGTGCGGACGACAATGAACATGGAGAGCGGTCCGTGAACTATATATTATATTTGGGGACTTCTCAAAACACATTAAGCTGAAAACAAGGCAAATACAAATTATTTCTGGATTCAAAACACTTTTTATTAAAATGGTATTTGAAAGCAAAACATCTAATTAGATTCAGACGAATCGTAGCCAATGTCTCTCAAAAGCCTTGGCATTTTCCTCTTCATAAACTTATTATATAGTTCGTGATTTTCCCGGACTAGTTCAGCGAGCGGACGGCGACGTCTGCGCCTATTGTTTTATTGGGACTCCCTGTTGACGTCGTTGTCACTATCGCTCTCAGAAGAGGAAAGCCCAGCAGCTATATTGTCGCGCATGTCTCGTGTGGGAGCGGCTGTTGTATGCGGGCGCTGCTGTTCCGGCTGTGCTTGATCGTGACCGGCTGGTTGTGGTTGCGGTCCATCAGCAGGCTGTGTCCTCGGCTGTTCTGCTTGTCCAGCTGCTGGTCTGTCAACAAGCCTGCGTTCTGCGTCTTTTATGGCCGTAACAAGCTCTCTGAAACAATATACATATAAATATAACAGTGTTTATAATTTACTAGGATTTTATAACTGGTTGCTAATTGGAAAATATGGTTGTACTTTACGAAACAATGATCGTTTCTCAGTGGTATAAAATATAATCTAAGTTTGTGTAAAAACGTCTTCTACTCAAATATGACCTGTTTTTGTTAATGATATATTGTAACATTATTTCGTTTTGCAAACAAATTTCTTTCAAAAGTACAAACAACGTTTTTTACAACAATTACACTAATATTCTTACCTTATATCAATGTTTTCGATCTGATTCGGCTGTTTGGCCATCAGCTTGCTAAGTTTTGTTGACAGACGGTTGCATTTCCATAAAGATCTTTGGCTGGCTGGCTTAACTGGTTAATATTTTGTTTAATTTCTTTAATTATGTCCGTCCACTTTGTTGGATGAGCTAAATAGGATCGTAACATCAATT